TTAGGGCAAGTGATATACCAAAAATTGCTATCAGGACTTGATATGGACATTATGAATTCACTGTCATGCCTTTTGATTTGACCACTGTTCCAATCGTATTTATGGATCTCATGAATAGAGTGTTCTATCAGTATTTAGACTAGTGTCATAGTATTTATTGACGACATACTTGTATACTCAAAGGATAAGAAGCAGCATGACGAACAACTTCGAATAGTACTCGAAATTTTGAGGAAGGAGAAAGTATATGCCAAATTCAAGCAGTGTGAATTTTGACTTGATCGAGTAGGTTTTCTTGGTCACGTGGTTGTTGCCCAAGGAATCAAGGTAGACCCTGTTAAAGTGGAAGTAATAACAAATTGGCTTCGACTGACCAATATGGCTGAAGTTCGCAGTTTCTTGGGATTGACTGGCTATTGTATAAGATTTATTGAGAGTTTTTCAAAAATAGCGGGGCCGATGACTCAGTTGACAAGAAAGGATGTGAGGTTTCAGTGGACATAAAAATGCAATAAATGTTTTCAGGAACTCAAGCAGAGACTAGTTCCAGCTCCTGTATTTACGATACCTGAAAGTTCAGATGGATTTGTAAATACCTCCAAGCAAGGTTTTTGTTGTGTACTGACGCAGCATAGAAAAGTGGTTGCTTATGCCTCGAGACATTTGAAGTAGTATGAACAGAACTATCCAACGCACAACTTGGAGCTTGCAGCGATAGTTCATGCCTTAAAGATGTGACGTCATTATCTCTATGATGGGAAGTGTGAAATTTATACAGATTATAAGAGTCTCAAATACTCTTTCACACAGATGAACTGAACACGAGACATAGAAGATGGCTAGAGCTAGCGAAAGACTACGACTGTACAATTCATTACCATCCGAATAAGGCCAATGTAGTTGCAAATGCCTTAAGAAAGAAGACAGGATCACAGTTAACAGTTTTACTCACAATGCAGGAACACTTGATAAGGGATTTGAAAAATTGAGATTGGAAGTTATCACACCAGCAACTCAGACTACAATGAGAATAAGAGCGTTCATGATTCAAGCTACACTTTGGGATTGAATCAAGGAGACATGGGATAAGAATCAATTTTTACAAAAGATAAAGGCCGAGATTGGTACAAATAAACGTATAAGATTTGAAGTACAGTTATAAATGTATAATCAATATCTTCACAAGTTTTTCCTTTCCTTTGAGTTTCTCTCTTTCCTCCACTCACAAATCTAACCACCTATAAGAAACCTACACACACCCACTTGTCATGATTCCCACTTACTCAAATAATAGAAGAAACTATTTGAACTCTCTTATTGTTATCTCTCATCACTCACGTTATATTCATTATAACTTCTAGTAACTTCTCCCATCATGTATTCATTACTCATTATTTCTATATTTTTAGTGTACTCGAACAAGAAAAGACTTTGCAAAAGCATTTATAGTACATTCTTCTTATCTTAATATTCTTCATTGGTTGAAAAACATTTGAAGGTTGAGATAGGATATGACGTACACATGGTTTGTCCCATTTAATTTTTGTTATTTCATATTGATAAATATCTTGTTAATGAAAAGATATGATATGACATATATGGCCATCCAGTACAAATGATATGATATAATATAATATGAGCTCTTGCTAGTTATAAAGATATGATATGACGGTACGATTTATTTTGATATATGAAGGATAAATGTTATTCGGGATTGTTCTAATATTCGCATCCTATTAAGTATTCCTCATACTCACCCATTTTCCTCACCTTACAAGTTAGTACGGGTAGTGTCGGAACGCGACGATTCGATGGTGTGGTCATGCCTCGTTTCATGGGACAAAAAACTAATTTAGCACGTAACTTTGTTTTTTTAATTTAGTTAACATAGACATTTATTTATAATTAAATTATCGCGAACGTTTATTTTTATATGGATATGTTTAAATTTGCACTTTTAAATTAAATATTAGAATTAAATTGTTTGACTTCTTAAGTGTTGTTTTACATTAGTGGAAACAAAATTTTATATACAATTAATGGTGTAAAGTAAAAATAAAAATGTAACATATGCATGTATGATTTTTATTGCATATATTAAGATTACTTTTGGAAACCGACTAGGAACAGGTCACACACCAAAAACAAAAAAAAAAGTAAATTGACTTTAGAATTTCTCACCAAGTCATTACTCATGAGAATTTGATAGGAGTTGATACTGGTTTCTTTTTTCACTTAATTGTGCACGTTAGTTTCATTTACCTGCACGATTATATGGAATAATTTAGCATTAAAGTTGAATTATATATACTATCTAGATATTATATATTAATTATTCTTTATTTAAGGGATAACATTATTATAAATCCATTTATTTTTTTTTATTTTTTTTTTAGAAACATTTGGCAGCGACTTAAATTTTTTTAAAAAGATTCGGGACGCTACAAAGTAACGTATAATATTTTTCAAAATTCAGTGGTCAAAACTCAAGATTTTAAACTTTAGTTATTAATCAAAGACATGGACCAAATAGCAAAATTTTCATGTAATTCATTCGTCAATTCGTACTAGTTGACTCACAAACCAACTCATCATAATGAATGAAATATGCAATTTCACTAAAAATATTGAAGAGCAGCTCAACTAGGACATGTCAAGTCACACTTTGGTTGAGCGAGACAATTCATGTTCGATTCACCCCATTTAACAGCCCTACTTGGTCCTATCAAGACTTGATAAGATAAAATGTGATGGGTCTAATCGAAATCATGAAATCTTGGAGGATCATCATTATTTCTACCTAGACTGTCTCTATCCATCTCTTATAAATATTAGAAAAAGCCATTGGGTTCTCCAGAGGCATAGCTCAGTAGTGTAAAAGACAAAAGTGAGATTATTTTACGCCTTGTTGACAGTCGCTGATAAGTGTGTTTTTAAACACTTATTTGGATCATTAACATGACTTAAACATGGATAAAATGGTTGAATTGTGACTTAATCCAGTTAAATTTATGCATTGTAGGTAATTCAATGGAAATTTTGGAATTCAGGAGAAAAGAGCCTAAGAAGGACCAAAACGCAACAATTTGATAGTTCGAGGACCAAAGGTGCAAATATTGAAAAGTTGAGCTAAATGCAAAACGAGAGGGAAGACATGCCAAGTATGAGCTCAATGACAAAGCAAAACAACTGGAAGAAGAAAATATTGAAGAGGGACTGAAATGAAGACAATTGAAAGTTGGAGGACTAAAGCGCAAATACTCAAAAGATATGCCGAATGAGGGGCATAAGAATTGATGGTATCAATCATCAATTGAAAGATAAAATTTGTTGAAAAGATGAAGAAATCGAAGAAAGAAGTCAAGAGAAGCAACAAAGAAGTTCAGGGACCAAATTGAACAAACCACATAGATGTTACCTCTATGCGACCGCATAGTGTAACCTTCTATGCGGTCGCATAGAAGGCTCCAGGGATTCAATGAGCCCAAACAAATTGATCTATGCGACCGCATAGATTCCTTCTATGCGGTCGCATAGAAGGATTTCCAACTCTCGGGCGCGGTTTTTCGTTTTGGTTGAAACTCCTTTTCTACTTAATTTGGACGCGATATAAATAAAAAAATTCATCATATGAAGAGGCAGAACGACCAGGGAGAAGGAAGAGACCAAAATTGGAGGCAAGAAACTTGATTTTGGATTCAATTTCACACGGACTCGAGACGGGATTGAAGATTATACACACGGATTGAAGAAATTCCATACGGGT